GTATTTTTCTTAAAGCCCCAGCTACTGGAAGTAACTCAGCTCCCTAGAAAATGCTGCCTACAGGGGAATCTAGGCCAGTGGTGAGTAGGGTTACCATATTTCACAAATAAAAAAAGGAGGACCCTCCATGAGGCCCTGGTCCCGCCCATTTCCCACCCCTGCCCCCTCCTCCCTCCCACTCCCAGCCACGCGGAAAGGGCTGCCCGAGAGCTACCGGCTTCACGGTTTGCCGGGCAGCCCCCAGACCCTGCGCCCCCGGTCGGCGCTTCCCCAGAGCAGCTGGAGCCCGGGAGGGGAAGCGCCCAGCCGGGGGCGCAGGGTCTGGGGGCTGCCCAGCAAACCGTGAAGCCGGTAGTGCTTGGCCTTCAGGCAGCCCCTATGCCTCCGGACGCGCAGGGTCCGGAGGCATAGGGGCTGTCCAAAGCCCGTAGCGCTCGGCTCTTAAACAGAGCCACAGAGTCGGGGAGGACCAGAGCCGCCGCGGGAGGGGAAGTGCCCGGCCGGCATTTTCCCGGACATGTTCGGCTTTTTGGCAATTCCCCCCGGACGGGGGTTTGATTGCCGAAAAGCCGGACATGTCCGGGAAAAACGAGACGTATGCTAACCCTAGTGGGGAGCAACGTGTGGCCCACAGGCTGCATGCAGCCAATCATGACGGGCCATGAGACAGTTTTACATTGACTGTTCGCAGGCACGGCTGCCTGCAGCTCCCAGTGACCACGGTTCGCCGTCCCCGGCCAATAGGAGCTGCGGGAAGTGGCATGGACGTGCTGGTCAATGTAAACAAACTGTCTTGGGGCCTGCCAGCGGATTACCCTGACGGGCCGCAGGTTGCCCACCACTGGTCTAGGCTCTTGCAACTAAAGTTGAAAGCATGCACGTGAATTCAATCAGAAACAGCGTTGCAGTTTCACCACACATGCAGCTAATGCAAATAATTAAGCTTTGGCTTTATTTATTTTTGTTTTTGGCTCACATAGCATATTTCAACTCAGTCTTTCCTAAGGACCCACATGTGTTAAATGGGATTGCTACAGTACATTAATTGCTGAAGAATAAAACGTTTGCAAACAGCTGTAAAATAATGTCAGTCATTTCTTGTTGTACTGTATACAGATTAGTACAGAATCCAGTCTGATCCACTCTGATTTGTTGCCTTTTTCTTGCAGCTTTTTGTTTGATTAAATCCTCCATGGAACTGGTCAACTGAGACCATTGCAGTATACTTTAGAGCCACTTTTGGCTTGTTTTCAGCTTACGTTTGTAATGGAAGATTAGCTACTTATAGACTAGCTGTACCAGCCTCCCCAAGAACATATAACAGTCCCTGAAGCTAGGGTTCCCAACTTTCTAACCACACAAAACCAAACACCCTTGGCCCCGCCCCTTGCTCACCCCATCCCTCCCCCCTCTGTTGCTCGCTCTCCCCCTCTCTCTCACTCATTTTCACTGGGCTCTGGCTGGGGTTGCGGGCTCCGGCTGGGGGTGCAGGCTCTGGGGTGAGGCCAGAAATGAGGGGTTCAGGATGCAGGAGGGGGCTCTGGAATGGGCCAGGGCTGAGAAGTTTTGGGTGTGGGAAGCACCTCTAGGCTGAGGCAGGGGGTTGTGGTATAGGAGGGGGTATGGGCTCAGGGTACAGACTCTAGGTAACACCAGAAATGAGGGGTTCAGGGTGTGGGAGGAGGCTCAGGCTCAGGGAGGGAGTTTGGGTGCAGGAGGGGGCTCAGGAAGGGATGCAGGCTCTGGGAGGGAGCTCAGGATAGGGGATTGGAGTATGGGAGGAGATGTGGGTCCAGGTGGTGCTTACCTCAGGGGGCTCCTTGGAAGCAGAGACATGGCCCTTGACTCCCAGATGGAGGCGTGGCCTGGTGGCTCTGCACCCGGTCTCCGCATGCAGGTGTCACCCCTCCCTGGCCACGCCTCCACCTAGGAGCTGAGGGACATCACCACTTCTGGGGAGCCGCACGGAGCCAGGTAGGGAGCCTGCCAGCCCCGCCAACCTGACTTAATGGCCTGGTCAGCAGTGCTGACTGGAGCCGCCAGGGTCACTTTTTGACCTGGCATTCCATTAGAAAACCAGAAACCTGGCAACCCTACCTGAAGCAGTGATTAACCCGAAGTTTTGAAGCCAGGGGCAACTTATTTTAGTGCTAAAAGAAATATCAGTTACTTCTGGTTTTTTTAAAAAAAGGATATTGGAGTTTTCACTGTGTATGGCAATGGGCTAAATCTAGTATTTGATTAAAATTGGCAGAGGTAACAACATTGCAGATGCTTAGAAATAGATTCATGTTTGGAAGGACAAGGAAAGAGAAATCAAATTAAATATTTTGCTCTTTTCATGTGAAGTAGAGATTAATATTTTAAGTGGGTTACAGGATATGGCCTAAACACCCGTAGCCTTTATCTTTAATTTAGATGGGGAAGTGGAATTCCCATGTTAAAATGCAACTATATAAAGATGTTTCCAAAGAATTAAATGATCGTTTTAGACAATAGATAGGTACTGAATGGAGAACATTTCACAACTGTCTTTATCCAATTTATCAGACTACAGTAAAAGCAGCACTAAGGAATAGTTTGAGTTTTAACACCAAGGCAGTGCTTACATTCAAGGAGTTTGAGTGTAGTCTACAATCTTGCTTTTGTCATGTCTACCACAATAGCTGCTTTTTTGTCTCTAGTAAGGCCTAAAAAGACAGCTAGAACTTTACTCTGATAGCATTCAAAGTTGTTGCAGGTCCCTTTGGAAGACAGATCCAGTACTTAAGATTGAACTGTCTTTACCAAAATGAAGTGTGTCCCCAAAAGGCACCTGAAGTGTTTCTTCCTATTCCTACATCTCAGAAATTTTTTGATTTATTTATACCTTGTGTTCCATCTTCCTTAATCACTTTCTCCACAGCAGGTTTCTCAGCCCTAGTTCTGATGTCATAGGGTATAATTTTGCAAACAAGTATGCAGCTAAGGGCTTGGCTACACTTGCAAGTTAGAGCGCATTAAATCAGCCTTGGGCACCCTAACTCCTGAGGTGTCCACCCTGGCAAGGCACTTAAGAGTGCCTGGACTCTGCAGCTGGAGCGCTCCTGGTAATCCACCTCCATGAGAAGCATAAAGCTTGCTGCACCCTGGCTGAAATGCCTGGGTGTCGGTCAGGAGCATAGCTGGGGGGGTTCAGGGGAAACAGCTGCTTCCCCTCAGCACATTTTTCCAAAAGCGGTGCCTGTCGGGCCGGCGCTAGGCTCCTGCAGGCAAGGGGGGGGTGGGCAGCACTGCCGGACTCTGGAGGAGTCATGGGGGGGGGGCGGGCATGGCTGAGGAGCCGGCTCCTCTGCCATCGCGCCCCATTTTCAGCGCGGCCCCAACATCGCCGCGACCGCCTCCTGCAGCAGCTCAGGGCTTGGCGGCCGAGCACTCCGCAGCTGGCGGGTAGATCCCCTCTCCCCGCCAGCTTCCTGCTTCCCTCGGCCTGGGCAGCCCGCAGCTTCCTGCATTAGCAAGGCTACCCGGGCCAAGGGAAGCCGGAAGTTGCCGGGGAGAGGGGATCTCGCCAGCTGCTGCCCGCCCCACTGCTCTGCTCCCCCCAACCCCCGGGAGAAGTGAGCAGCGTCCGCCTGCCACCCCTTCCTCACACCCGCTCCCCCCTCCCCGACTGAGCCCCTCTGAGGGGGGGGGCACAGCATGGCTGCGGCGTGGCCGGAGAAGCCAAGGGTGGGGGGTGCAGCACGGTGCAGCTGGAAGAGCCAGCCAAGGGGGGGGGCGCGGCCAGAGGAGGAGCAGTGCGGTGCAGCTGGAGGAGCCAGGCAAGGAGGGGGCACAGAGCGGCCGGAGGAGCCAAGGGGGACATGGCCAGAGGAGGAGCCGAAGGGGGGGGGGGGGGCTCCGTTTTTAGGTTGCTCCCCTGCACTTAGAACCTGGTTATGCCACACTGGTGTCAGTGTGGATGACGTGTTGTATTACTATGCTGTGATTGGCTTCCAGAAACATCCCATAATCCCCTGAAGTCAAGTGGCCACTTGTCTCATTGTTTTGAACTCTGCTGCAGGCATACAGATATCCCCTTTCAGAGCTCCATTTCTGACTGCCGGCATACTTATCTCCTCTGGGACACAAAGCAAACCATTA